CTCCTGGCCCTCCACCTCCAGGCAAACATGCAAAGGTACAGCCAGCCCAGATTTCAGGATAAGGCATTGAAAGCTCAGAGAAATGGAGTGCTTGCCCAAAAGCACCAGCACCAGAGAGCCAGGGCAGGATGCTCATCCAGGATTGGCTTGTTCCGGCTCTTTGCCAGTAGTGGAGGCAGTGGGGGATGGAGACAGGCTGGTTTCCATATCGTGAATTATTCAGTGGCTAATTCTGCTCCTCAGAGAGGAGGCAGGAGAGTGAGTCAGAGCCCTCCCACAGTGGAGCAGAGAGCAGGGGAGGGGGCAGAACAGTGTTCACAGAGGCCAGGCACAACCAGGGCCTCCCAGGGCCAGTGGGTCCTGCAGCAAAAGGCCAGGCTGAGCAGGGGGCCCAGCCACTGCCCCAGCTCCTATGAGCTGTAGGCCTCACCCCCTCCCTACCACACATCCCAGAACCCAGGCACCTTGGAGGACCAATAGCAAGTCCAACTGTGGTTGTTAGCATGGGCAGGTGGCAGGCCCAGGCCAGCAGATAACAGCCACCTTGGGTGCCCCAGGGCTGCCCTGGAGCTTCAGAACTGACAAATGGGCCAAACCCTTAGGGCAGAGAACTTTCCCAAGTAAAGCATACTTCACAGCTAAAAGATAGCCCTCCAGGGCCAAGCGTGATAAAGCCAGCATACATCCAAGTTCCTGGGGAGAACAGAGAATGTGTGTTGCCCCCACAGTGAACGGTCCCCAGGGCTGGGTTTCTAGAGTGTGGGCGTGAGATTTTACACGAATCCTTGTCTCCCTCCTTCTTGCTGTCTCTGGATGTGCCTGGGCAAATCCCTCACCCCCTTTTCATCTGTTTAGGAACGCCATCAGCAGGTCTGGTGGACCAGGTGGCAGCAGAGCACTGAGGCTGGAGGCAGCAAGCTACCTTGCAGAGGCAGCTGCCCCATGGCTCCCTCCTGCTCTACTTCCGGTTCTCCTCCTCTGAATAAGGAAGGCCACAGAGAATGCGGTTCTGAATAGACGAGGTGTAACATGGTCCAAAAGAGTGCCAGGTCCCCAAGCCACCTTGATAAGCAAAGCCTTTTCCACCCTACCATGGGATCTGCTTGCTGTGGTCCATCAGGAGAGAAACAAGAGGTGTTGTGAGTGACCAGACACCCTGGTCATGGGGCTTCTGGAATCCAAACCCCCTGGGCAGGAAGAAAATGCCCATAGCCTGGTCCCCTGCCTTGCACTCCAATGACACTGGCTCAGTGATAGGGGTGGTGCTGGGGCTGGCATGATGCCAGACCTTGGGCTCCACTGGGAGAGGGCTACAAAGCCACCCCCAGCTCTGCCTAGGCTTGGTCCCTTGCAGCCTCCCACAGTGAGGCCCACATTGCATTCCTGCTTCCAGGCCTCTCTCCTCCCCCAGGAGCTACTGGCAGTCTGGTCACCCACAGCCACGCTTGGCACTCTGTGTACATCCCACAGCCTGACCGCCAAGCAAGGGGTCATTAGCTGCCACAGAGGGCTGGCATCTGCCCAGGCCATTCACCTACCAAAAGCCTGGCAATGGGATTCCCCAGCTGGAGGTGAGGGGGCGAGGAATCCCCTCCTGCCTGCACCTGACCTGCTCAGGCACTGGTGCTGATCCTAGAAACCTGGGGTCCTCCAGCAGGGTCTCTCCTTGGCACCAGGCCGCCCTCAATAACAGAGAGGGACCCCGGGTGGCAAGAGGCAACTGGCAGAGGGGGATCCATGTAACCTCAGAAACAAGGACCTTAGTGACACCAGAGGAGAAGGCTGGAATCTGGAGGGGGCTTCGCTAGGGGCTGGAGAGTATTTAGATCCTTGAGGAGGAGGCCGTGGCCCTTGAGGAGGGGGTTCATGGCCGGGAGGAGACCCTCGAGAAGAAAGGGGCCCCTGACCCACGAGGAGGAGGCATCGTCACCCGCGATGGGGTGGAGGGCCCTTAGATCCTCGGAGAGGGGGCCGTGACCCTCGGAGAGGGGAAGGCCATGACCAGAGGCCCCTGACCCTACGACCCAGAGAGTCCCCACAGCACCTGCTGGTAGTCGGTGTCCTCGGGCCGGAACTGGCTGCTGGTGGTCTCCCACTGCAGGTCGAAGTGTGGCAGCCGGTGCAGGAGGCTCACCCACCAGGGAGCCGCATAGTTGACCCCGGCCATGGCGGGCCCCGGCCGCCTCCCGCTGCGCGGCCGCTGAGTGGGCTCCTTCGCTGGCCTAGGGCGCGGAGTTCAGGGACCCGCTGACCCCGGCCTGGCCACCCTCATAGTCCGCGCGTTCCTGGGTCCGGCCCGGCCCGGATCGGCCCGGATCGGCCCAGCTCGGATCCGCTCGGCTCCGCTCGGCCGCTCGCGTCTGCCGCCTCTTTGTTCGCCGCCGCCGCCGCCGCCTCTGGGCCCCCGCCCGCCACAGGTCCCGCCTCCTACCCACCATTGGCCTGTGGCCCGCTGGCCCCGCCCCCGCGAGGGCCGTCCCTAGCCGGCTACGTCCGTTGGCGAGCCACCTCTCTCCCGCTCTTGCGCCTCTATTGGTCTTTCTCCCATTAGCACCTCCTCTCTGCTCGCTTGCCCCGCCTTTGGCCAGTGGCCCCGCCCCTCCGCGACCCTCGCCCGCCAGCCCCGCCTCTACACTCTGCACTGCCATTGGTCCACCAGCCTAGGCTCCGTCCACTCCTCGCGCTGTTGGAGAAGCGCCTGGCCCTAAACGCAGGAGGTTACATAGCCCAGGCCACCCGGCGGGTCTCCCAGGTGTGCGTGGAGGCTGGATCTCTGACTGCTCTTCATTCTATACCTTCGCTGGTTGATTCGACCTTTGCGCGATTTTTGCACGTTTACTTCGGGGGTCCGACTGGACGGTGCCAGGCAGGCCTCCCCACCTCAGGCAGCTCGCAGCGCCCAGCAAGGGACGGTGGCCTGTCTGCAATAAGGGCGTGATCTGGATAGAGGTCCTGAATGTATGATCTGGGGCAAGTCACTTCTCTGTGTTTCAAGGTCCTTATCTGTAAGAGAGGATGCTAAGTGAGAGTAAAATGCTTAGATCAGGATCTGGCACATAAACCACACAAGCTTGTGGTAGGTAGATTCAGTTCCCATCTGGCCTGCCCTTTGGAGGAGATTGTATCTTTTATCAAGACGTAAGATAGACAGTGTCCTGTCCTGGCGGCCTGAGCCCTGGAAATTCAGGCAACTGCTAGAGAGGGCTTTGGAGCCACACAGCCAAACTTCCTAACAGGCTGTCCTCCCGCCTCTGCTAAAGTGGGGGTGGGAACTGCCAGGGCAAGGAGGATGGTCACACAGTAGGAGGTTGGGCCCAGGTACGTACCCCGCCCTACCCCAAGGGCAGTAGGTGCACCCTCTTGGCACTGCCTCATCTCCACCCTGGGCCTCATTACTGGACCACCTGAGTTCTGAGAAATGGCTTTCCACACCTGGGCTCTACCATCTGCTGTGTCTTCTGTCAGCTCTGTGGGCAGGCAGGTCCTTCCTGGCAGGCTAGGAATGCCAACAGGGATAGCTCTGGGCAGTGGCTTTCTGGGAGGCCTGACCTTCGGCTCATCTGACAGTCCTGACTTGCCTGTTTCCTGTGATAAGGCCCAAGGGAAAAGGCTTTGCAAAGCTTCGGTTTCCACTCCCTGGGTAACTTGGAGATACCACCCAGTTGGGAAATAACAGTGGCATGTTGATATCTGACCTCAAAACCTTTCATACCTCAGAGGAGGGAGGTCACATTCTTCATCCCCAAAGGCTGAAAAGCTGGAACTCTGAGGGGCTTCTGGCTCAGGTTCTTCCATTTCCAATGCGAAAGTTGCTAGGAGGTCCAGGCAGAATGAAGACTCCCTCTAGACCCCCCAAGACCAAAGCTACCTACCTCTAGGAGTAGGTTGGCACCTGGCCAGGTAAATCCTCTTCCCTGGCACCAGGTGACTCCTTGCCGTGAACAGGTAGAATAAGCAGGATGTCCACTTCTGGGCTGACACTGCTTCAGCAGCTAGCCTGTTTCATCTGCACAAGGAGGGTATCAGCCTGCTCTGTCTGTCCCTTCCATAGCTGACTCTGACCTCGGGATTCCACAATGCATAACTCAAAGGATGAATAGGAAGGTGCCTTGTCAGCAGTTAACTATCTTTGTGGATGGGACACTTTCTAGTCCATGTTATTAATAGAGCTCCCATAGTCACAAGCAGACCCTTGCTTCACCCACACCCCAACACCTCCAGCACCAGCCTGGCAGTCCTTCCAAGGTCTACACATGGAGGCAGAGGGCCTATGAGTTCCTTTCCATGTTTCCAGAAGCCTCACAAAGTTGTGTATTTTCTTTTGATCAGGACATAAAAGTCTGACTCAAACATTATGTGAAATGATAATAACTCAGGTGTAGTGGGTTGACTTATGTCCTTCCAAAAAGATATGGTCAACTCCTAACCCCTGGTACCTGTAACTGTGATCTTAAGTGGAGAAAAAAAGGTCTTTGTAAATGTAATCAAGTTAAGGTGAGATTATAGGTGTTAGGGTGGGCCCTAATCCAATGATGAGGTCCTTATAAGAACAGAGCACTTTGAAATGTTATTAATTTTATTTGTTTATTTTGAGACAGAGTCTCAAGCTGTTGCCCTGGGTAGAGTGCTGTGGTGTCACAGCTCACAGAAACCTCAAACTCTTAGGCTCAAGCGATTCTCTTGCTTCTGCCTCCCAAGTAGCTGGGACTATAGGTGCCCACCATAATGCCCGGCTATTTTGTTGTTTTAGTTGGCCTGGGTAGAGTTTGAGCCTCCCAACCTCAGTGTATGTGGCCGGTGCCCTACCCACTGAGCTACAGGAGCACTTTGGACACAGAGACTCAGAGATATAGAAACCTAGAGGGAAGAACACTTGCTGAATATGGAGGCAGAGAGGAGAACAACGCATCTATAGGCCACAGAACACCAGGATTGCTGGAGACATCAGAAGCTGGCAAGAGTCCTGGGACTCCTTATTGCAGAACCTCCATGGGAAGCATTCCTGCCTTGATGATCTCAGATGTCTGCCCTCCCAAACTGTGAGACAAGAAATGTTTACTGTTTGAAGCCCTCATTGTGGTACTTTGTCACAGCAGCCCGGAGAAACGAATATGTTGAGGTTACTCAGAGCTTCCTGTTGGCAGGTACTCTGTGTCTCTGCTTGGTATGAAGTGAAAAGGAGCTAATTAATTAATTAACACTTGCAGTGCAGCTCAGCACCTGTGGCTCAAGTGGCTAAGGCACCAGCTACATACACCTAAGGTGGTGGGTTGGAATCCAGCCCAGCCCGCCAAACAATGATGATGGCTACAACCAAAAAATAGCCAGGCATTGTGGCGGGCGCC